CCTCTGATAAACTCTAATCTACTTTATGTCTCTATAGATTTGCCTATTAAAAATATTTCATGTGAGTGGAATCATGCAGTATTGGTCCTTTTGTGACTAGTTTATTTCACTAGCTTAATGTTTTCAAAGTTCATCTATGTGTGGCATGTGTCAAAATCTTAACTCCTTTTTATGGCTACGTAATATTCCATTATGTAGACATATACCACATTTTATCAGTTCATCTGTTGATACACACAGGTTGATTCCATCTTTTGGCAGTTGTGAATAATGCTGCAGTGAACTTTGCCTCACAGGTATCTGTTTGAGTCCCTGTTTCACTTTTAGGGTATATACCTCAGAGAAATGCTGGGTCATGTAATAATTGTTTAGCTTTTTGAGGAACCACCTAACTGTTTCCACAGTGGCTGCACCTTTTTCAGTTGCCACCAGCCATGCATGAGGGGTCCAGTTTACCCACAGCCTTGTTAACATTTGTTCTCTCTTTCAGTCTCTCCCTCTTTCTCTCCCTCCCTTGCCATTGTGGCCACTAATGATGTTGAGCATCTTTTCATGTGCCTATTGTAGTTTTTTGCCCATTTTTAAATTGGATTGTTTGTCTTTTTGTTGTTGAGTTGTAGTTTTTTATGTATTCTGGATATTAAACCGTTATTAGATATGTTTTGTAGATATTTTCTCCCATTCTTTTTACTTTCTTGATAATATCTTGATGCACAAAAGTTTTAAATTTTGACGAGGCCCAATTTATTTGTTTATTTATTTATTTATTTATTTATTGCGGTACCTGGGCCTCTCACTGTTGTGGCCTCTCCCATTGCGGAGCACAGGCTCCGGACGCACAGGCTCAGCGCCCATGGCTCACGGGCCCAGCCGCTCCGTGGCATGTGGGATCTTCCCGGACCGGGGCACGAACCCGTGTCCCCTGCATCGGCAGGCGGACTCTCAACCACCGCGCCACCAGGGAAGCCCGGTCCAATTTATTTTTGTGTTTGCAATGCTTTCTATGTAGTGTCTAAGAATCCATTGCCAAATTCAAGTCAAGAAGATTTTCTCCTTTGTTTTTTTCTGAGAGTTTTATGGTTGTAGTTCTTTTTGTTTAGGTTTTGATCCGTTTTGAATTAATTTTGTATATGGTGTGATATAGGGGTCTAACTTTATTCTTTTGCATGTGGAAATCCAGTTGTCCCAGTGCCATTTATTTGACTAATTTTTCCCACATTGAATGGACTTGGCGGCCTTGTAGAAAATGATTTGGCCATAGGTGCATGGATTTATTTCTGAACTCTCAATTCTAGTCCATTAATCTTTATGTCTATCCTTATGTTAGTATTACACTTTTGATTACCCTAGTTTTGTGATAAGTTTTGAAATTGGGAAGTGTGAGCTCTCCAACTCGGTTCTTTTTTTTTTTTTTTTTAACATCTTTATTGGGGTATACTTGCTTTACAATGGTGTGTTAGTTTCTTCTGCACTTGCCCTTAGTGTGTTTTCGATTACCTTCATTAGTTTACTCAGGTTTCCCCATGTAAAACCCTAAAAGAAGTTTTTTTTCAGAACTCGCGCTAGGAGAGTATGTGGCATGTCTTGAGTGTGCTGGACCCACATCAGGGATCGGTCCTGACCATCCTTTTCATTGCTTGGTCAGCCTCGTTAGGCAGGCCCATCCCTTGAAGCTCATTAAAGTGTAGAGGAAACTAGTACTGGGTTGCTTGATTGAAAAAAACAAAAAAACAGAAAAACACATGTAATCAGTGGGAAAGTGGAAGAGACATTGGATGTTCTTTCTGTGTATGATGTGTGTGTTGCTTAGAGGAGAGATTTCTAATGTATGATGTGGACCCTTGAGGAATCATGAAGTTATTAGGGAGTACTACAATTTCTCTGGTGGCTGCAAATTCAAATGAAGCATTGTCTGAGAATTGAAAGTAATCTCTCCCATTAAATTACTGTTATATATCAAATGTTCATAGATACTGAGGTGATTAATATTATCCAAATTTATTTAAAAGTATTACTCTTCCTATCAGCTTTTGTCATCCTCTGTTTTCTCAATTAACAGCTATCAGAGATACAAATACTGTCACATGGAGGCCAGAAACCTTTGAAGAAGCGGTAGGGAAAAAGGGGATTAAAAAAAGAAGGTCCCTAGGTTAGAGTTTCAAAGTATCTATCAGATTTATTGAGGGAGTTTGAGATAGAAGGAATTAATGTTGACTGTCTAGTAGAAGTTTGGATCCATGATCATTTTCGCCTTTTTGTCACCTTGTGGGTTTTTACCTTGTAAGCCTTTTTTTCCTACCAGTCTTGCCTTTGGTGCAAAAGCTTGACTACTCTAGCTCTTGCTTCTCACTGCACTGCACCACGTTCCTTTCTGTGCTGTTCTGCTCAGAGCTGCCATTTCTGAGGCAACTAGTGCACTTCTTTGCATCAAGTTACAGATTAGATGAGAGCATTTCAACCAATGTTTACAAATTTGGGGTTGCTGCATCTAAATTAGGGAAGCTTAAACAAAAAGAGTGCACTGAACCCACCCCATGTCAATCTTCTGAGACCTATATATGTATAAACAGATTTTTTAAAATGTGTTAACCTATGTCTCTACATCTTATGTACAAAAATATATTGAAATATTCTTAATCCATTTATTTCCTAATAATTGTGGTTTTTTTCTTACTAGCTCTTTTTTTCCTGCATCTGACATCTTTCCTTTAAACCCTTTAAACCCTTCTCATCGCCTGTGATAGAACATTACTGCTTCCCTCTTCCTTTTCCAGTATTTTCTTAGGAAAAATTTAAGCCTACAGAGATACTGAAAGGCTTGTACTGTGAAAACCCATGTACCTACCACGTAAAGTCTACAAAATTAACATGAATATATATCTACACTCATCATTTTATCTTATTTTTTGATGCATTTCAAAGAGCGTTGCAGGCATTGATAAATTTGCTGTTTTTGTATTTGAAGTGAGACTTTCGTAGACAGCATATAATTGGATCGTGGTTTTTAACCCAATCTGACATTCTCTACCTCTTATTTGAGTGTTTAGACCAGAGGTAGGCAAACTATGGCCCATGGGCCAAATCTGGCTTGCTGCCCATTTTGTAAATAAATAAACTTCCTTGGAATACAGCCATGCTTATTAGTGTTTACATATTGTCTATGGCTGCTTTTGTGCACAATGGTGGGATTGAGTAGTTGTATCAAACAGAGACTGCATGGCTGTCAAAGCCCTAAATATTTATCATCTGACTCTACAGAAACAGTTTACCAGCCCGTTATTTAATGTGATTGTTGACATGATTGGGTTTAAATCTCCCATCTCACTGTTTGTTTTTACCTATCTCATCTGTTCTTTGTTCTTTTTATTCTTTTTCTGCTTTCGTTTGGATGAATATTTTTATGATTACATATTATCTCCATTTCTGGCTTATTAGCTATACTTTGTGGGTACCTTCCTCATATAATACTGCTTCACATATAGTCTACAGCAGCATGCTTTCATTTCCCCTTCCAGCCTTTGTGCTATTGTTGTCATATATTTTACCTCTATATATGTTACAAACCTCACAATAAAAGCAGTGTTCTATCCAATTTTTTTTTTTTTTTGCGGTACACGGGCCTCTCACCGTTGTGGCCTTTCCCGTTGAGGAGCACAGGCTCCGGACGCGCAGGCTCAGCGGCCATGGCTCACGGGCCCAGCCGCTTCACGGCATGTGGGATCTTCCCGGACTGGGTCACGAACCCGTGTCCCCTGCATTGGCAGGCGGACTCTCAACCACTGCGCCACCAGGGAAGCCCCATATCCAATTTAAATCCTTGTAATAATTTGCACTTTTCTCTAGTTCTGAATTGACCTGGTAGCAATGTATTAGCCTAGGTATAGTCCAAGGCAGATGTGATATTAATTGTCATTCTCTGGCTTAACTAATTCTTTATTTTATATTAAAATAGTCTTTAATTATTAAAAAAAACCCAGTAATATATACTGTGAAAGTTAGAAAGTACAGGTTATCATTTCTTTAGAAAATAGAAATATTAAATGCCATGTACCTACCATTCAGAGATTTAGCTTTCTCTTTATGTGTGTAAACATATAAATGTGTGTAGTATTTACCACAGTGAGCTCATAGCGGTCACTCTTTTTTATTGCATGCTTTTTCAGTTACCTTCATCTTTCTGTGTCATTAAATGTTCATCCTATCTAATACCCAGTCCATATTCAGATTTCTCCAGTTGCCCCCAGATATTTTTCACACTCTGTCTCTTTGAAGCGGAATTCAGTCTGAACCCTGCTGCATCTGGCTTTAGGGTCTCAGAGTCACGTCCCTTTCCGTCTTGCCGTCCCTGTGGTGTTGTTAGCCACACACTTGAGCCCCTACGTCACTCCCCACCCTGACACTTCTCCATGGTGCTCGCGCTGATGGAAGACAGTGTCTGCTCATGCAGTTTCTGTCTTTCAAAACTTACTTGTGGAAACCTCATCTGTTTATTTCTTATAAAACTGTAACTTTAAAAAAATATATATATATTTATATATATTTTTGAATTTACGGAAGACTAAATACATGGAAAAAAAATCCAGCACCCTAACAAGTACGGCCAGGAAGGAAATCAACTCTGTAATAGGATGGTTTAATGAACTACAATCAAGAAAGGATGGGAAAGGAAGAAAAAAATGTGCATTGAATTTAAGACACTGTAAAAACTCGGAAGACATATTCACTTATTATTCAAGTGTAAACTCAGTAAGTACTTGGTATAAATTAAAAGGCCGCTGCTGAGGTACAAAAACTGTAATATTAACTTGGATTATTTCAACATTTTCCCCAGGTCTCCAACTTGATGGGAACTCTGTCACAACTTGCCATGGGCTGCATTTTCATTTCACTCTTCCCAAGTAGATTTCTTAGGTGCCAAGTAATCCCATCAGGTTCTAATTAAATATTTCTTTATCTTCTGAAATTATGTAATAATCTCTCATTTTCTCCCTTTTTAAAAGGACCTTAAAGGCTTTGATCCAGGAGAGAAGTACTTTTATAACACATCATGGGGAGATATTTCTCTCTGGGAACCTTCTGGAAAGAAAGTGGTATGTATTTTTATTTTTGATTTTCATGTTTCCTAAGAACTTGGGGGTAAGTGTCAATTTAGTTCTGAGGAACGTCATATGTTTTGGGGTTGCAGATGAATGAATGGGAGGAGGAGGAAGTGTGTAAATATTCAGGGAAGTAGAAAGAAAAACAAAGTTAAACGTTTTGTGATATAGGATTATTGATGCTTTGAGAGTTTTCCGCCTATCAAGTTGGTAAAGTGATGTAGTGAAACTATTATTTGTCCTTGATTATTATATGTCCCTGATGTAAGAAGGGCTTCTGATTTATATAACTATTCTTAGTAAAAAGAAATGTCATGACTTTATATGTAATGAAGGTATATCCTGGTTTCAAAAATTAAAATAAGAATATGGAGTTTGAATCGAGGAATACAGTTTATAATAATTTGAAGCCTCACACTTAGGCAGATTCGAGCTAAAATATGTGACATACCGCTGAATTCTCCTCCTTAAAGTGTTTTCTTCTGGAAAACCCTTCCTGCCCCCCAGCCACTGGACTATAGCACCTTCATCAGCGTCAAACCAGCACGTCCCAGATATGACGTCACTGCCTCCCCTCACCGCTCCCCCACCCCATTTGGCCAGACCGTGTTGACCTTGTTGGGAATTCTGGCTTTAACAACAAATTCCGGTAGCCAGTGAGTCATTTCTCTGTCAGAATTTTACTTAAAAAAATTTCCGTTGTCACCTTGTCCTCCTGAGTCCTGCTTTCTGCCCTGCTTTGTGTCTCTTATCCTCCTTAACCCGGAACTCCCCTCTATACCCACAGATACAGGGTTCCTTGAAACTGCTTTGATTTGGTTATTCTGCTCAGAACAGCTCATAGCTATTCAAATATGCCTTGTTTTGAAGACCTTGGCTTTGTGAATATTTTCTTGGGCCTCCCTGATTTTTCTTATCCGAATTCTTAAAAGATTCTGTAACGTAACATGCAATATAGTTGATAATTATATGCTTTTCATCAAGAAACATATTTTGAATTCCTGTTACAAACTAGGTAAAACTTTGAGTGCTTGATACAAAGAGGTGAAAGTTAGGGTTCTTTTCCTCAGGGAGTTTATGTTTTTGTTTGGGTGAATAGGGCCTGGCATAAAAAGTTAAATAACAATATGAAAGAGTGGAGATTGAATTTGTTAAGTAGATACCATATTGAGAAAAAAACCCAATAAACCACTGTTGCCTGGCATGGTGGAGGCTGTGTTGTCTGCTCGTTTTAGTACCTTACCCCTCTCTGTGCCGTAGGTAGCTTCTTGCTTTAATTTGTCTCTGGGTAATAGGATATGTGAACAGAGACAGTTTCGGGCACCACAGCAGAAAAGTGTGACCCTGCTGGATTATGTGGCTCATGCTGCACAGAAATGACATGTGTTGGACTTTTGGGTTTGGGACTGAGATGCTCAGGTTATATCAGGTGATGGAGCCCAGCTGTTGTGGGACCTGAGGACGAGGCCTTAGGCTGACGGAGAGACAGGGACTCTCACGGGGACAGGATTTCCACCAGCACCCAGAACACCTGACTCCACTTCTTTTCTGCTTCTCTCCTGGGTTATTTTTTCTAACTCTGTTACAGTGAACCAAGGTCTCACGCTCAAATTGTTTCTGATTGGTCACTGTCCTAGAACTTTCACATACAAGTTTTTCTCTGAACATTTTGTCAGGGATTTTGTGCTTATGGACTTACTGTTTATTTTCCATTTTAATAGGTTTGTAGTGGTATCTGCTCTGGTGTTGGTTTGCATTTCCCTAGTGACTAATGATGTTGAGCATCTTTTCGTGTGTCTGGCATCTGGATACCCTCTTTACTTTAAAGTATTTGATGCTTAAAATGTTTTGCCAGTTTTCTAAAAATTGGGTTATATGTTTTCTTACTGAGACTTGAACATGTCCACAAAAATGATTCTGGACACAAGTCCTTTATTAGATATGTGGTTTGCAAATATTGTCTCCTAGCCTGTGGTTTGTCTTTTTATCTTTTAAACAGTGTCTTTCAAAGAGCAGATTTCTTACTTTGATGAAGTCTTGTTTATCATTGTTTTCTATTATGGATCATACTTATGGTGTCATATTTAAGAAATCTTTTCTTAACCCAAAGATCTGTTCAATACTAACAGATAGTAACAAGTTGTTAGTAAGTGCTATTGACTCTTTAATTGGGTGTAATTTTCATTAAGTATCTGGTTTTTCAGTACAGCATTTTGTGGAGTATAAGATGCACCATTTTAAAATGAACCACTAATGAAACTAAAGTAATACTTCACACTTAAGCTGTGTTGCAGCATTGAACTGTCAGTTGTAAGGTGTTTTCAGATTTCAGAGATATTAAAATATGGGGGGAAGAGTGTGTCAGAATTAGTGAAAAATGTTTTTTTTTACTTTGTGATCTGTGGTTGGCTGTTGCCCTAGGTTTATTATAGATCCTCCTTGAAGTGCCAGAACCTGGGATTTCTAATTGCTGGGAAGGCAGTAGTAACATGTTGTTGAATGGGTTTGGGTGATTTCTCTGACCAGTGACCCAAGAGGAAAACTGCATGACTAGGAGAGAAGGTGACAAAACGCACAGGAGGGGAGTATGTGTATGTGTGTATGAGAGAGAGCAGTCACGAGAGCACAGATCTGGGAAGGAGCGGGGTGGCCTGTGGCCACTGCAGTAGCTGGAAAAAGGGTTGCAGAACGGGAAGGCCTCTGCCCCAGCGTTTAACCTTTCCGCACCTTAACCTTCCTCCTTTGTGAAACTAGGGCCCGTGTTTCCTGGGGCACCAGCTCTGGGGTCCGGAGGCTGTCATACTGCTCCAGGTTGTCAGACCAGCAAGATTTCCTGGATGCTAGAACAGACTGTGCTCCTCAGTTGGCCAGCTGCTGTACAAATGTCTGTTCTTGTGCCCCAAGCTTGTTGAATTTCCCGTATTTGCCTTACAGAGAAATACCGTACTGTCAGAGTTACAGTCTGTGGCCTGAACTTACCTCAGGATTATTCACAGTGAGTTAGGCACAGTCCCTCTTTCTTCAGTGCTTGTCGCACGGTTTATTGGCTACTTGCTTCTGCCATGCGCTGTCTATGTGCCTCCTGCCTTCTCCAGGAATCTGGGAAATGGAAGACAGTGATGATGGAGTTAACAATTTGCAAGTTTGGTTATATTAGGTAAATTCCAGAAGTTTTAGAATTTGGAGTAAAAACAACATTGGAACTAAGAGAAGTGGGATGAGAAGGGGAGACAATAACTTTTTCGTGCAGAAAATTGAGTTTATTTTAATTAATTCAGTTAGGACTGCATCAATTCAAACTATAGGACTAAGTAATGAGATTTGTGGTTTAATGGCTGGCTTGGAAACAGGGTTCAGCTAGCTGTGATTTTGGGGCCAAACTGTGTTTGTATGGCCTACATGCTGAGAATAGTTGTTACATTTTTAAATGTTTGGGAAGGAAAGAAATTGAAAAGAATACTGTTTTGTGACATGTGAAAATTTGAATTAGGGTCTCTTGTGTTACTTACACGTTATCTGTGGGTACTCTTCCCTTACAGCACAGCACTAGATCTAGCCAGTTAGAAGAAAAAGAATCATATACTTGTCAACTGTAGGTGTAGCATGTGATAGTTTATTAAACTATGCTTGACTTTCTTTTCTTTTAACAGAGATATCGAACAAAACCATACTGTTGTAGCCTCTGTAAATACTCCACAAAAGTGCTTACTTCATTCAAAAATCATTTACATCGTTACCATGAAGATGAAATTGACCAAGAGCTGGTGATCCCTTGTCCAAACTGTGTGTTTTCCTCTCAACCCAGAGTTGTGGGAAGGCACTTCAGAATGTTTCATGCACCTGCTCGGAAAGTCCAGAACTACACTGTGAATATTTTAGGTGAAACTAAATCATCTAGGAGTGATGTGATAAGTTTTACATGTTTAAAGTGTAACTTTTCAAACACTCTGTACTACAGCATGAAGAAGCATGTGCTGGTAGCCCATTTTCACTACTTAATTAATTCCTACTTTGGCCTGAGAACTGAGGAGATGGGTGAGCAACCAAGAGCTGACGACCCCCGTTCTACAGAGAAGATGCCCCCATCCGACAGGTATTACTGTAAAAAGTGCAGCGCCAACGCCAGCAGCCAGGATGCTTTAATGTACCACATCTTGACGTCAGATATACACAGGGATTTGGAGAATAAGCTTAGGTCTGTGATCTCAGAACATATTAAGAAGACTGGACTTTTGAAGCAAATGCATATTGCTCCAAAACCAGCTGCACGTGTGGCTGTACCACCCAACAGCAGTGCTCCGGGCATCCCAGCCACATCTCCTTGCTTCCACCTGGCCTTGCCACAGAACAGTCAGAGCCAAACTGTGGTACAGCCAGTTCAGGGTGCGCCCCCCCCGGTGACTGTGGCCTCGGGCGCTTCTGGAAGCCTCACCCACTCCCCGCCTGCCGTTGCCCAGTCTCATGTGACTCTGGTCTCCAGTCCTCTGCCAGTGGGCCAGAGCAACCTCACTCTGCCGCCCTCAACACCTCAGCCTGTCTTTCTCTCTCATGGAGTTCCACTTAATCAGGCAGCAAACCCTCCTGCGTTGCCCTTGAGTCAGCCAGTGGGACCTGTAAATAAGTCGGTCGGAACCGGCGTCCTCCCCATAAAGCAGACCATCCGCCCGGGGGTTTTGCCCCTCAGCCAGCCTGTTGGGCCCATAAGCAGACCAGTTGGGCCTGGAGTTCTTTCGGTAAATAGACCTGTTGCGTCCGGTGTCCTTCCTGTCAATCCCTCTGTCACCCCTGGAGTTCTTCAGGCGGTCTCGCCAGGGGTGATTTCTGTGAGTCGGACAGTCCCGTCAGGGGTCCTTCCTGCGGGACAGATGACCCCTGCTGGGGTTATCCCTTCAGGACAGACAGCAACTTCTGGGGTTCTCCCTGCTGGCCAGGTGGTTCAGTCAGGGGTTCTCCCCATTGGCCAGACAGCGCCATCGGGGGTGCTCCCCACTGGGCTGACAGTCCCGCCGCGGGTCCTCCCTCCTGGCCAGACGGTCCCACTGAGGGTTCTCCCTGCAGGCCAGGTAGTCCCACCTGGGCTTCTTCCTCCCAACCAGACGGTCTCGTCAGGTGTTCTCCCTGTGAACCAGGGTATTAACTCTGGTGTTCTTCAGCTCAGTCAGCCTGTCGTGTCAGGGGTCCTTCCTGTGGGCCAGCCAGTGAGGCCGGGGGTCCTGCAGCTTAATCCGTCTGTGAGTACCAGCATCCTGCCTGCTCATCAGCCCGTCAGACCCGGGGCTTCGCCAAACACCGCTTTCCTAACATCAGGCTCTATTCTCAGACAGCTGATACCCACAGGGAAACAAGTGAATGGGATTCCCACATACACGCTTGCCCCAGTATCTGTCACTTTGCCTGTGCCCCCTGGAAGTGTCGCCACTGTTGCCCCCCCCCAGATGCCCATCCAGCTCCTGCAGTCGGGCACGGCTGCACAGATGGCCAGCTCCATGGCCAGCCTGCCCTCCCCACCAGTGGTGGTAAATGCCACTCAGAATATGTTCGTTCAGCCTTCTTCGTCTGTGGCAGAGGCAAATCAGGTACTCAAACAGGCAAAGCAGTGGAAAACTTGTCCAGTTTGCAACGAGCTCTTCCCTTCCAATGTCTACCAGGTCCACATGGAAGTGGCACATAAGCACAGCGAATCCAAATCTGCTGAAACACTGGAGCCGGAAAAGCTAGCGGCATGTGCACCGTTTCTAAAGTGGATGAGAGAGAAAACAGTTAGGTGTTTGTCCTGTAAGTGCTTAGTCTCAGAGGAGGAGCTTATCCGCCACTTGCTGGTGCACGGCCTGGGGTGCTTGTTCTGCCCGTGCACTTTCCATGATATTAAAGGCCTCTCAGAGCATAGTAGGGCTATGCACCTAGGGAAGAGGAGACTGCCTGTGGACTATAGCGACAAAGGATTTCAGCTGGATGTCGATGCCAATGGCAGCCTGCTGTTTCCCCACCTCGACTTCATCACCATCTTGCCCAGGGAGGAGCTGGGTGAGCGGGAGGTCTACTTGGCCGTGCTGGCTGGGATACACTCCAAGTCACTGGTGCCCGTGTACATCAAAGTGAGGCCGCAGACCGAGGGTGCGCCCGGGAGGCCTGGCAACCAGGCGCTGACCTGCCCTTTTTGCTTCGGCACCTTCGTGACGGCTGAGGCGTACGAGCTGCATCTGAAGGAGCGGCACCACATCATGCCAACGGTGCACACGATTTTGAAATCCCCGGCTTTCAAGTGCATCCACTGCTGTGGGGTTTACACGGGCAACATGACTCTGGCAGCCATTGCCATACATCTGCTGCGCTGTCGGAGTGCTCCAAAGGACAGCAGCTCAGGCCTGCAGGTCCAGCCTAATTTTATTGAGAACAGTGAACTGCTTTTAGTCAATGGTGAGGTGATACACGACTCCAGTTTTTCCGTAAAGAGAAAGATGCCTGACGGCCAGTTTGGGGCTGAGGAGCAGAGGGAGGGCGAGGAGCGGCCTGTCACCACGAGCGCTGACACAGAGCCGTCCCCGGAGAAGGCGACGAGCGCCGTGCCTTCTAAAAGACAGAGGAGCGAAAGCAGGGCGGAGGCGCCCCTTGTTCACGACGACGCTCTCCAGGTTTTAGCGTTAAATCCTAAAAGATACGAAGACCGTTCTTACGAAGAAAAAAAGCAGTTTCTTAGAGATTATTTCCACAAGAGACCATATCCCAGTAAAAAGGAAATAGAACTGTTATCCTCACTCTTATGGGTGTGGAAAATTGACGTGGCTTCATTTTTTGGAAAAAGAAGGTATATTTGCATGAAAGCAATAAAAAATCACAAGCCTTCTGTACTTTTAGGCTTTGATATGTCTGAACTTAAAAATGTTAAACACAGATTGAACTTTGACTATGAACCACAAAACTTGTAAAAAAAATTAGGAAATCTAAAGTACTAGATACTTAGTAGTCTTTTTCAATTGAGATTTTTAAAAATGTTATTTTCTTCACTGTATGTTGAACTAATCAATTTCAGTGGTCTTTATGCTGCTCTTTAGGTTTATTTCAGGTGCTCAGAAAGACTTCTATATAAAGAACTGAATAGTTCTTTCAAATTTATTGTTTCCTGCAGCTTGATTTTGTAACAGTTGTTTTTCATTTTTCCTCTGTCATGTAAATTAAATCTTTTGATATTTCATGCATGCCTTGTTTTCCCAGTAGTGTCAGAATCGTATGATAAAAACTGAAATCTATATATGTTTGTTTTTCATTTAAGGAAATTTCAGCTTGTTTCAGAATACTTGATTAACTGCGAATTAAAACTGCTCTCCCTCAGCTTCACAAGTAGCAGCAGATGATACAGTAAATGTTTAGAGAAGTGAGTAGAAGCCCCTGTGACATGTCTGGTTCCTTAAGGATGCACTGCATTAACTTATGCTGATTTCTTCTTGTAAGGTATTTGCTTATTAGATTATACTTTTGATTTATGTTTTTTCAGGTTTGTCCTAACAGCTGTTTTTGATTGTAACTCAGAAAACCAAATGTTTTCATTTGTTAAAAATATACTGAACCTGAAGTCTGGTATTAAAGCTCATAAGTCAAGAGTTATTTTACAAATAAAGTAATTCTGTAGGTACAAAAATACTTCTCAGTGTAGACTTTTCCCCTCTTTTTGATACGCTGATAAGTCTTTTCTCCATTCAAAGATATGACAATAAATCTTTAGTGCCTTTAGAACAAACACTGAAAACACACACACAAGCTCTCCTCCTAACCTAACTGTTCATAAACCAGTGAAAGGGAAGGACCGTGTTACTCAGGAATAAAATGTTGACCCCTGGGTGTGGCTACTAACTGAAATATAAACACAGGTTTTCAGGGGACAAGGTGAAATGAGTAGACCGGAGCTAGTCTCCTGGTTGGTGTATTAAATCTCTGACAGTTTCCTAGAGGTAAATGTATTCACTTTGGGGAAGTGGGCTTTCCCATAGCCTAGTTGTCCAGGTTAATGGGATGGGGTATTGCTAAGGAGCTCAAGTGTATTACTCTCCTTTGGACAGCTAAGCCTCGGTTTTTTCACACAATATAAAATAACTTAAAGCACCAGAAGCAGTAATGGAGACCATCCAGTTTAGACCTTAAGTCGTAGTGCTGATGATACACAGCAGAGGCACCTGTGCAACATACTCAGAAGATAAGACAGTCTCTGGGAAATGAGATAATGTTACCGTCTGGATTTTAAAATACAGCTGCATGTCGTTGCTGTAATGTGCATTTTTGAGGCAGTCGTGAAACTGGTGTGCGATTGTTGGTGTGCTCTGTTGTAAATTCAAGGAGCTTGTTCAAGTTAACTTTTTTTTATCTGTTGTTTTCAGAGTGTCTATTTTGAATTAAAACTTGTTACACCACTGCAAGTAGAACTGTTTAATTCTTTTAACTGTTAAAACATCACGGTGACTCAGGAACAATCTAAACGTAGAAGTAGATACCATATTTGTTTTCTAAAAAACATTACTTGTCATTGTGAAAATAAGCACAACCCAAAAGGGCTAACTAATTACAGGGTCACAAAATAGATGTGGCTAGAGATCCTTGCCGTGTCTGGCAGTGGCTGGGAGTCGGCCTTTCTCCAGGTTGTGCTCTGTGCTGAACGGCGCAGCTTGCTGTCTGCATGGTTTGACCCTCCCTTCTTCAGTTTTGCACGTTAGGGGTTCTGTTGGCATTGGGGCCTGATCATTCTTTGCTCGGGTGACTGTCCTGTCCGCTGCAGGATCGGGGCAGCATCCCTGGTCTCTACCCTCCAAGTCAGTAGCACCTCCCCCCCCCCCCCCCCCCCCCCGGGCTGGCAGATGTGTCCCTGCCAGGTGTCCCTGTGAGGCAGCAACAGCCCTTGAGGAGAACCACTGTGATGAAGGAATTCCGATTTCTACTTGTATTTCAGCTTTCGATGTGGAGTCTTTTTATACTACACTAGTTACTGGTTATTAAATAATGTTTTAGGCTTATGGATCAAAATTTGATATAAGCTGAGCTTCAAAAAGTACATGGGAGTTCTTGCAAATGTAAAAAATGAGTAAATTTATTACTGTTTTTGCCTCTGCCGTGCGGCATGTGGGATCTTAGCTCCCTGACCAGGGATCAAACCCGTGCCCCCTGCAGTGGAAGCGTGGAGTCCTAACCACTGGACTGCCAGGGAAGTCCCTAAATGTATAATTTGAAAATGAAAAACTAAACTATAGATTAATAGTGGTGGAGGTTTTTTAAACTACTCCATTAAAAGATTAGAAATTGAGAAGGAAAGGAGACAATCCTTTTTATTACCACGGTTACGAATAATTGTATACTTTAAAAAATTTTGTAATCTATGTAGCATGAACTCTAAAAATATTTCATATTTGGAGACACTGCTTGGGAAAGATCCTCCGTGTTCTCCTTGCTGCACGTAGTAAAGCCTCCCTTCTCCTACCCTCTCCCCCACCAGATTACATATTTGAAGTCTACTCAGTGAAAGACAAATTAGAATGTAGGATACTATTTTAGCTTCTGAATTCTGTTAACACATCCTTGTTTTGGATGTGTTATTTTTTAATAACTAGGAATCACATCACTTCATTTGTTAACAGTGACTAATAAATGAGAGACAGTAATTCAGGAGTGCTCCAGAAAGCTTTTTATCCACCAAATAACAGGATAAGCACCTTCACCACCCACGCCTTTGGTTAATTCTTCTTTTGATCACTGCTCTCCCACGCATCCCTCAGCATGCTGCTTCCAGAATGAAACTGCTAGCAAATCTCAGTCTGTCGGATTTTGCCTTAGCAACTCAGCTGAGGAGCAAGTTGGCTTTGATTTCACCTTGTCCTAAGGCCCATGAATGTTTTCTCTAGAAAGCTGCAGGCGAATGAAGTAGGAAGGGCCAAATGTGGACCCTACAGCTCTCGAGGACAGTAGGCCTCGGAGTCCAACACAGCTGCAGGAGTACCTGCCTTCAGTTTCTGTGATGTGGGCCACAGGGCTGGCATGAGGGCAGGCAGACAGCAGAGGTGGCCGTGTCGAGGACAGTGCTGGGTACAAGGGCAGTGTTGGTACCACAGTAGCTTGAAGACTACATGGTATAGGTGGTGTCCGCCCACTCTTCCCCCTTCACCCTCATCAATGAGATCAAACAAAACATAGCCAATCAGTGAAGAGGCCAGGCCAGTCCTGAAAAGCCCACAGGGGCCAGAAGACCCTCATCCACGTACCACCAGGTAACCACAGAAACTAGGCTTCTGCACCACCGCACTGGACTGGCATTCCCGGGCCAAGGAGCTCTCCCAGGAATTCCTGGTCCGGGTGGCTCTCAGGAAAGGGCTGTTGCTCATATGAGACTTGTCAGTTGGCCTCCCTGGCGTTGTGGACACATCATCCTCTCCCTCAAGCTCAGGCCGCTTCAGTCTCCCTTGCAAAAGCCATGCGGTTCTGGTTCTTCATTCAGTATTGAAATAAGACCTCTGGAAGTCCTGCGCTGTGCTGTAGTTGGGCAGCGGCTGGGCCAGGCCTGCAGTAGACGGTTGCTCTTCTGCCCCCGAGTTCCCAGGGGTGTGTGGCCAGGGAGGGCAGTCGCCCACCTCCTGTTACCCTTTTCCAACAGCTCTTCACATATGATGATTATGTGCAACTTTCTAAGAGTTCACTAAAGAAAGCAACAACCCCGACCAATTAAGAAAAGAAAAAACAGCCCCAAAACACTAACCTAGTTTTTACATTGTTTTTAAACAGACCTTCCTAGTAGACAATAAACATTTATCCACAGTTTACTATTGCTAGGAAATGGGCTGAGTATTTTAACGACAATGATAAAGATCTATTTAGTGCTTACTCATCTGTGCACAGCTGACATGCATTTTAACTCTCAACCATCCTACAAGGTAAATGGTAGTATCTCGTTTTGCCTAAAAGGAAACCGAGGCATGGAGAGCTTAAGTAAGTTGGCCAAGGCAGGGAGCTAGTTAGGTGAAAAGAGCTAGGGCGATACCTGAGGGCCGAGCGCCATGCTCTTAGCTGGTATGATACATTCCTCTGTTCACGTATTTCCCCATTTAAGCCTCATAATACTCTTATGATGTAGGGTTTATTTTACCTGCATTTTAAAGATGAAGAAATGGGATCCAAGGTAGAGTGACCAGCTGTACCAGTTTACTCAGGACTGAGGGATTTCTCTGAACTTTCAGTACCCAAACTGGGAGCATCCAGGCAGGTGGGGATAAGTTGGTCACCCTACTCAGAGGTCAGTTCACCCCCCACGGTGACATGTCCCTTAACTGATGCAGTACTGTCTGTAATAAATCTCTGTCTGCTCTCTCTAGACGCACACGTAGCCCTTTAGGTGTCGAGATATACAGGGCATCCCGATCCTAGATGGTTACAGCACCAACAGTAACAGTGCCCTCTGTGTGCCAGGTATTGTTCTAAATGCTTTGCGTAATGAACTCAATGACATGATGTGTTGTGAATGAAAAGTGAGAGGAGGGAAGTCCTGGTTAGAACAACAATAAAAGAAGTACACACAGATTTGCTATTTAGATATCTTATAATGTCTCCCCATGTTACTAAATAGAGTCCCTGCTGAACTATCAACTAAGGAATAAAAAATCCAACTGTGAGGTACTGCCAGAAAACTTTTCTTTAGTTTTTAATATTTATTTATTTATTTATCTATTTGGCTGGGCCAGATCTTAGTTGTGGCATGCGGGATCTTTGTAGAGGCATTCGGGATCTTCAGTTGCAGCATGCGAACGCAGTTGCAGCATGTGGGATCTAGTTCCCTGACCAGGGATTGAACTCGGCCCCCCTGCATTGGGAGCGCAGAGTCTTAGCCACTGGACCACTAGGGAAGTCCCACTTTTCTTTAGTCTTAAAAACTTAAACTTAATTTCATTCTCTTACTGATAGTTATAATTTTAATGTTCTCAAACCAATTCCTTTTTCATAGGTGCTGAGAGTAAATATCTAAACATGCATTCCTTAACATAAAGCTTCACCTTGTAGCACACCTGCTGATTTATACTTCTGGAATCTGTTTTTTTCTGTTATGCAGTTATTAAATCTCAGCTTTAGAATTTTTCTAGTTTTTGATAACCTGTCCTAATTACTACTTAGTTTTTAAAATTTTAAAGTTAAAAATCAGATATCTAGGAGGGTTACCTTGTAAAGTAG